ACAGGGGTTACTCTCGCTTTTTTTTAGAATGTCTGGAAAGGTTTGGAGTTCAAGGACTTGTTGAAGACCAATGCAATAGCAGGGGCTAAAGATTGGAGGCTTTTTGTAAATTAAAGTTGGTATCTCCTCGAGGGCGCTAGACTTGGTTTTAAGGGAAAGGATATATCTCATTGACGTCAGTGGAGTTAATAGGCTTTAGGTACAGAGACTGTGGATAGTTACCTGTAAGATAGTCCTTATTGTCAGTACTGGAAGATGGAATATCATTTACAGTTTACTAACTGTAGGTAGTAACTGAGTGATTGTAACCTATCCACCGCTGCTACTGGATGGAGGGCGGTGAACCTATCCACCGCTGCCTACTGGATGGAGGGCGTGTAACCTATCCACCGCTGCCTACTGGATGGGGGGCGGTGTGCAGGACAAACATATCATTGTGACACTAGCTCTCCACATATGTCGTTGCTTAATTTAGAAACTGTACTTGAGGTCGATCTCGAACCCATTGTTGATGTGACGACTTATATTGAATTTTGTAACTAGCTCATCAAGATATGGCCCACTGCCTTTTGACGAAAGGCGGTGGAGTTTCTGACGGGGGAAGGAAGAGACAATTGCGCATCGCGTCCCGCAGGCGTGGTGCGGCCAGCCTGGGTGGCATAAAAGGCGCGGGAAGTCAGGTCCCGCTCTCACTCCCTCTCCCGACCAGGTCCAAGATTCACAAGATTCTACTAGTAAGCCCTACCTGTCAGGTAATTCCTTCCTTGGCGGCTCGGCCTCTGGCCTGGGGTTATTTTCTTCTCCAAATACATATCAGGCTTCCCAGTCACTATGTTTCTGCCGCCTGATTATTCTCCAGCTAGGGTTCCCTTATGTTATGTTGTTCACTTTGGTGTCCTGTTATACTTAGTATTAGATTTGTTACATTCGCCTCACTGCTAATTCTAGACATTAGGACATTAGGTTTCTGCAGAGTTTGTTACTAGGCTATAAGATTACGTTTACTACGGGTGTACAATTTAAGATGTTTCGTGTACTTTGCGTTAGCCACGGCTATGTTATACATTTGTTAAGTCTATTTAAAAGCCTGTTTTACTTCTGCAGAATATTTATCATGTCAATTAAAATTACGCCCCCAAGGCTTGGTGTCTTCCTTCCCCTGATCAGAAATGTAACTTGCTTAGCTAAATGAATTGTGGGGTTCAGTCCCTGAGCACATTATGTGCCTCTGTAACCCTTTCCACTACCGCCCACAAGATAGGTATGGGGTGCATAATAAATGAACTAAACTAAAAAGCTCAATTACTATTAAGTTTTAGTCTGTTTTTTTAAAGCCACTAGTACTATGCGTACTAGTGGCTTTAGGTATTGTATGTACTACCTCTATCTTTAAATCTAACAGAATGTTTGTACTGCAACTCGGCAACTATGTATGTACTGTTCCTAAATAAATTATTATTATTATTATTATTAAGTCCAGCTATCCGATAACACAAGTCCAGGTATCCGACCAGTGGAAGTGTTTTCATCCGGCCTTGAGAGCCAGGTTTAGTTAGCGAGGCGGCCGATCAGGGCGCCACATGCCGGGTGGCCGTAGCGCTCTACACGCCCACGGTTACACCCGCTGTTATTTCCCTAAAAAAATTACTATCCTGTCAATATGTCGTGTGAAAATGGAAGCAACATTCGGTGCGAGGCTTCAACTAGCCGTTTACCGAAGAGGAAACATGTAGTGATGAACTTGGAGCAAAAATGGCACCTTATAAATGAAGCTGAATCAGGCGTGCCACAGCGTGTGATCTGTGACAAATACAACGTCAGCAAAACTACTCTTTATGACATTGTGAAGTCCAAAGATAAACTATTTGACTTTTGTTCTAAAGTTGAGAGTGACGCCGAGATGCGGAATAAAAAAATGATGAGTTCGGCTAAAATTAAGAGCGTAGACGAGGCAGTTTGGGAATGGTACGCTAAGTTTGCCGGGGACCAGGCCGGAAGGGGCCCTGTTCCGGGCTGGCTCATCCAGAGCAAAGCCAAGGAGTTCCATGAGCAGATGAACATTAATGAGGAGTGTGTGTATAGTGATGGGTGGCTGAGGGGATTTAAGTATCGTCATGGTATTTACGGCGTGAAAGCGCGTAGGGAACATAAATCGGTTAATGCAGAGGAAAATACCAAGCTGGAGTCGGTCCGGCAGGACGAATGTCTGCCTCCTAAAATCATTTATAATCCTAATGACACGAGCCCAATACGCGCATCGATCCTTAATTGTGAGTACTCTTACAGTATAATTGTGATCTTTTCTTTCATTTGCAGTATTTAGTGAAGCTGTATTTTGATGTATTTTCGGATAAAAATGAATCAACTGTTTAACGGGGTCGAGAAAGTGTACTTTTAACAAGTCGGATATATGGACCTGAGGTGGTCGGTTTGTACGTCTTCAAACTAGGGAAATAACGTTAACCAAACCCATTTTTTTTATGTATGCGTGCAGATAATTGTTATATGTTTAATATTTAAGATATAATACAAAACAGATATTGATATATTGTAAATTTAAAAGAAAGCAGATAAATTGTTTGCCTTGTACGATGTTGCCAGACGTAGGAGTCAGGTGCAGGTGGTGGGTGGTTGTGGTGGTTGTGGTGGTTGTGGTGGTTGTGGTGGTTGTGGTGGTTGTGGGCTGGGGGGGGGGGTAGGGGGGACTCACCTAGTTGTGCTTGCGGGGGTTGAGTTTTTATCTTTTTTTTTTTTTTCTTTTTTTTTGAGATATATACAAGAGTTGTTACATTCTTGTACATATACAAGAATCTTAAACTGGTTGAGAGAGGTACAGTCTTTAACATGGTTGGGAAGGTCATTCCACATTCTGGGTCCCTTGATTTGTAGAGCATTTCTAGTTTGATTAAGTCGTACTCTAGGAATATCAAATAGGTATTTGTTTCTGGTGTGGTGCTCATGGGTTCTGTTACAACCTTCTATGAAGCTTTTGAGGTCAGGATTGGCACTACAGTTCAGGGTTTTATATATGTATAATACACATGAGAGAATGTGCAGTGACTTAATGTCTAACATATTCAGAGATTTGAGTAAGGGTACCGAGTGATGTCTGGGGCCAGAGTTGGATATTGTCCTAATAGCAGCTTTGTGTTGAGTAATTAGAGGACGTAAATGATTTTGGGTAGTAGAACCCCAAGCATTATACCCTCTGGGAGATCATTTACATATATCAGAAACAGTATAGGTCCAAGGACTGATCCCTGTGGGACTCCACTGGTGACTCCCCGCCACTCCGAGACCTCACCTCTCACATTGACTTGCTGTGTCCTGTTGCTTAGGTACTCCCTTATCCAATGGAGTACCTTCCCTTTCACTCCAGCCTGCATCTCAAGCTTGTGCACTAATCTCTTATGTGGTACTGTGTCAACGGCTTTCTGGCAATCCAAAAATATGCAGTCTGCCCACCCTTCTCTTTCTTGCCTGATTTTTGTTGCCTGGTCGTAGAATTCAATTAGCCCTGTGAGGCACGACTTGCCATCCCTGAACCCATGTTGATGCTGTGTTACAAAGTTCCTTCGCTCCAGATGTTCTGCTAGCTGTCTTCACCCTTCACTACCTTCACTGCCCTTCACCACCTTCCCTACCCTTCACTACCTACCCTACCCTTCACCACCTACCCTACCCTTCACCACCTTCCCTACCCTTCACCACCTTCCCTACCCTTCACCACCTTCACTGCCCTTCACCACCTTCCCTACCCTTCACCACCTTCCCTACCCTTCACCACCTTCCCTACCCTTCACCACATTCACTGCCCTTCACCACCTTCCCTACCCTTCACCACCTTCCCTACCCTTCACCACCTTCCCTACCCTTCACCACCTTCCCTACCCTTCACCGCCTTCCCTACCCTTCACCACCTTCCCTACCCTCCACCACCTACCCTACCCTTCACCACCTTCCCTACCCTTCACCACCTTCCCTACCCTTCACCACCTTCCCTGCCCTTCACCACCTTCCCTGCCCTTCACCACCTTCCCTACCCTTCACCACCTTCCCTACCCTCCACCCCCTTCCCTACCCTTCACCACCTTCACTACCCTTCACCACCTTCCCTACCCTTCACCACCTTCCCTACCCTTCACCACCTTCCCTACCCTTCACCACCTTCCCTACCCTTCACCACCTTCCCTACCCTTCACTACCCTTCACCACCTTCCCTACCCTCCACCACCTACCCTACCCTTCACCACCTACCCTACCCTTCACCACCTACCCTACCCTTCACCACCTACCCTACCCTTCACCACCTACCCTACCCTTCACCACCTACCCTACCCATCACCACCTACCCTACCCTTCACCACCTACCCTACCCATCACCACCTACCCTACCCATCACCACCTACCCTACCCTTCACCACCTACCCTACCCTTCACCACCTACCCTACCCTTCACCACCTTCCCTACCCTTCACCACCTACCCTACCCATCACCACCTACCCTACCCTTCACCACCTACCCTACCCTTCACCACTTACCCTACCCTTCACCACCTTCCCTTCACCGCCACAAATGGCTGAAGGGAACATGAGTATGGTAACAATGAGTCACAATAACGGGGCTGAAGATATAATGACCAAACCACACCCCAGAAGATGATGAGATAATGGTCCATCTTGGACCATTAACAAGTCTATTGTCAACATCTCTTTAACCAAGTCTATCGATAGACAAGTCCATGTCTATCTCCCTGTAATTCCCACCTAACTAAATATTTATATATGTATGATATATATGTAAGTTGAGGGTTCCAAACGTGTCGTTATTATCGGTTATCGTAGCAGCGGGTCTCAGATATTGCTGAGAAGCTTGCCCAACCGTTCTTAAGATGGCCGAACGGATCAAGAAGTTAGGCGATGTCTTCAAGTAGACCAAAGATGTATTGGGCGATATGCCCAAGTGTTTCTGGCGGTAGCGAGCCTCGGGTCCGGTGTCTTCCAGTGTGTTACTGGCCCATCAATGGGGCATTATATTGTGTTTGGGAATGATGGCAGCCATCAGCGGCTCCTTGATCATGAGGAAGGAGTTTGTGTGTGTGGATCAGAGCACAGGTGAGAGACCACCGGACGACCTGTAGACTTACTGTGAGTAACACCACGTGTCCGTGGGCTATGACGACGACACCCACAACAGGCGGACTGAATCACCCGCCCATGGCACCTTTGTGGGGTTCCTGGTAGGTTGTGTAGTCTGTCTTGTGGTGGTGCGCGGTGCTGAGACAGGCGCAAACTGCTACTTCTTGAGGACGTTAATGACTGATGCACAAGATGATGAAGATGAAGAGAAAGGTAGACAGGAGAGCAGGGAGAAAGTGGCAGAGTTCCTCCGCTCCCGTGTGGGTAACTTTGGTAATGTTTACGGCTGCCGGTGTGGCATCCACATCTTGGCTGTGGTGGTGGATGTTGTCTTACTTGGCTATCATAGCTATATAGTCCAAGGCAAGACCTTTACCTTGATGGCCACCTACCCCTGGAAAAGGGACGTCGTGACCTTCAGGGACATTATGTCCCTGATATTCGCGCCCTTCGCGAGGTGCGACATTGACTAGGACGACGCCATTTTGGGGCTGACCACACGCAACTATGTCTGTTATAACCCGTTGGCTCTTGTATATGAGAAGTTTTCTCTCATTATTTTTATTTATTTTATAGTTATGTTTGTGTTGGGTTGTGTGACTGGTTCATACATTGTGTACCAAGGGAGCCCCTGGGGGCAGCGCTCCCTGCTGGCCATGGGGGGCAAGACCCGCCCCCACGAGGACAGGCTCCTCACCAAGATCACCGCGGGCGACGTCCTTGTCCTCCACTACCTGCGGCCCAGGACAACCGGACGACACTATAGGGAGGTGGTGTCTGGCCTGGTCCACCGGTTGTGTCGTAGGGACACCCAAGAGCCTTACAGGGACACCCAAGAGCCTTACAGGGACACCCAAGAGCCTTACAGGGACACCCAAGAGCCTTACAGGGACACCCAAGAGCCTTACAGGGACACCCAAGAGCCTTACAGGGACACCCAAGAGCCTTACAGGGACACCCAAGAGCCTTACAGGGAGCTCTTGGTCCCCCTATACACACTCACCCGGGCCAACACAGAGTATACAGCAATAAACATGATTAATATAACGGACATTTGACGGGGGCGTGCAATATAAGAGGCTCTGGTGGCCGCTCTACACGGTGATGCGACCTCGGGAGGCTGCGGGGGCAATCGTCTGGGGAAAGCGCCAAGCCATTACCACTATATAACACTGGCAAGGGGTCAGGATAAGGATTTGGGATGGGACGGAGGGAAGGAATGGTGCCCAACCACTTGGACAGTCGGGGATTGAGCGCCGACCTGCACGAAGCGACACCGTCCACCCCAAGTGGTTGCGTTGCGGCTTCATGAATAAAAGTGAATAAAAGGAAAAAAGTGTGTGTGTGTGTGTGTGTGTATAATAATAATAATTTTTATTTAGGTAAGGTACATACATAAAGAGATTTTACAAAGTTTGTTGGGTTAATAGATAGAGCTAGTACATACAATGCCTAAAGCCACTATTACGCAAAGCGTTTCGGGCAGGAAAAACATTAATGACTAAAGCTTAAAACTAATGGGTAAAAAAAATAAAATGTGTTGAGAACAAATAAAAATAGAGGTAAAAGAGGGGGGAACATGGTTGAAAAAGCAGAACAAATACAGTATAATTACCTAAGTGTAATTACCTAAGTGTAGTTACAGGATGAGAGCTACGCTCGTGGTGTCCCGTCTTCCCAACACTCTTTGTCATATAACGCTTGGAAACTACTGACGGTCTTGGCCTCAACCACCATCTTCCCTAAGTTGTTCCAACCGTCTACCACTCTGTTTGCGAAAGACAACTTTCTAATGTTTTTTTTTGGCATCTTTGTTTCCTGTGTGTGCTCGCCTAGTTGTGCTTGCGGGGGTTGAGCTCTGGCTCTTTGGTCCCGCCTCTCAACTGTCAATCAACTGACTGAACAACTGAAAAAAAACAGATTTGAAATTAATTTCCTATGGATACCATCACATGTCGTCTCCTAACGTACCCTCATGTGGCTCATGTGAGTACTCAGTCTCCACCTGTGCCCCCTTGTTCGTGTACCACCAGTGTTGAATAGTTTATCCTTGTCTTTCCGGTCGATTCCCTGAGGATTTTGTAGGTTGTGATCATGTCTCCCCTTACTCTTCTGTCTTCCAATGTCGCAA